CCCCATTTTCAGGTCTGAGTTAGTTCCAGAGCCCCCCCCCCTCATTTTTGACTTCGCAGTGGCACTTACCTACCATAATGTGGAGTGAGTGCCCCCCCCCCAAAGCCTCAACTTGGGACATGACCTTCAATCCTAACAAATGCCAAATTATTGCAATGGCAAGGGGCATGCTATTATTGCAATGTGTGTATATTAGAGTATGCACATACTCTAATTTGCACACACATTTTGGTGTTAATACAAGTACTAGCGACATTTTCTAGAGTGCCCACATCAATTTCATTTGTAAAAAGGTCACTCGCTCCATGGGCATGCTATGCAGAACGTTTTCTTTTTTGGAAAGTAAAACCAGGTCCCTTGCCTTTACAAGTTCCATGGTCCTATCTATTCTAGAATGTACCTCACCCAGTTTAACCCTGTATACCTTACAAAACTGTGACATATTGGAATTTACTCGGCACAAAACTGCAAGATATATGTCACAAAAAACTATAGTGCCAGTACTGAAAATATTCTCATCGGACTCGACTGGCTCCTGGTTTGTGCTCATTTTCTCTATACCGAACTCATGGGCTTCGACAAGAATTATCATGGCTGTGTTAAAATTGGCATCCCATCTTGCTTGATGAAATCATTACAGCGTACTCGGTCATCTGTCTCTGACAATTGTTCCTGCCATGTTTCATCTTCAAAGGACCCATTCAAATTTAGTTTCTAGTTTCGGTAATTCCATACTGGAACTCTCTTCCATGTCCCATGACCTTTAGTAAACTGTGTCCCCTGTGAGCCTTCTGTGCTTCTATTTGCAGTGTTGATCTACCGATCTGATCAATTTCGAACTCGGTTTTCATTATAGTTCTTGGAATTTAGAAGAGTTACCATTACAAGATTGTGAGATCACTATAACTAATAAAGAGACCAATGACATTTTGAGATTTAATGGGTTCGTTATGTAATGCATGTGGAAGTACATTGAGTTTTGTTATTTTCTAATAACCTCTGTCACACTGCATGGTGTATGCCAACAGTGGCTGTAGTTTAGTTACTAAATCAGTCATAATTGTGTTGACTTTTAAATTCAAACATGAACATTGCATTTCAGCAATGAAGAACTACAAACCTACTGATGCAACAACAAACCCATCATTGCTCTTGGCAGCAGCTCAGATGCCACAGTACCAGCAATTGTTCGATAAGGCCATTGAACATGGGAAAAAACATGGAAGGTATGTCAATATGTATATATTATGTATTATCCCACACAGGGTCTGGGAATAAATACCCTGGAACCCTATTATATAAAATCACATTGGTTACTGCTTTACAGGTTGCTTCAATGCACTCACATATAATAACGTATGAGATATAGAAATGTATGGAATGTTAAAATTACAGGTCTTTTTGAAAGGGACATGTTTCATAGATTTTTAGCTCATCTGACATAGTCAGATGCAGCTTGTAGAATCGCATGAGCGTGCGTGCGTGCGTGCATCAACAGTTGGGCACAAATCTTAACCGCTCGACGTACGGTCACGATATTCGGGATGTGGGGGGGTAATCCGAAAACGAGTTGGGATGTCGAAGCTGGGGGTCAAAGGTCAAAGGTCAAGAGGTGTAAAAGAAGGGGGAACATTCCCTTCTTAACTTAAGGTATAGGGAGGATACTCCACCCCCACCCTCTCCCACCACCACCACTATGCTCGCGCTCGACGCATATCCATGATAACGTTAATATAGCGAAGTCGACTAAACTAGTTGTGCCATACATACATGTCGCCCGCTAGCATTACATTGCCCGCTCTCTCATTAGCACGTAAGCATTCGTACTACTCGTACACGCTAACCGAATCCAAGAAAGTGTGGTAAACACTCATGAACGGCGGTGGTGCAGGATAATGAATGCAATAGGAGGGTGGAGGAAGTGGAGAAACGATTTGGGAAATGAGTGTAGGATTGTATTCCATGACTAACACTGCAGTAACAGTGTCCAGTGACACTATCTACTATTCATTACCACTAGGGAAAGACAGTACTAAAATTGTACTAGTTTCATTATTAGACGTTCTATTTTATTTCACTTGCTTCACCAGCTGTACATCCTGTTCATAATCCCTCTGTCTCATCCGCCTCATTTTCTTCCATTTAACTCCGTTATCAACCATCAACATCATATTCTACCTCCTCCACATCTTCTTCCGCCTGGCCTACATGGCATCATCCCACATTTTCAATTTGTAACTCTCTAGATTCCTCCTGCCTTCTTGTCCTGCAATTTCATATTTATTTTTACTTCATAGAACTACCAATAATTTACTAATATTGTATATTCTTTTAAAGTTGGAGATATATAGACTGACTGTTCTCATGACAATATTTTGTACATCACTAAAAACGCCACAACTGCATAAACGGTGACAACTCTACTTCTATACACCTTTGCACTGATGATCCAGTTTTTCTACGACATGCAGTAGGGATGATAAGTAGCCCTGCAGAGTATCCATACTCTTCCTGAAAAACGGGCCTTAACACCGGGGGGGGGCACTCCATATATATTGGCAGTAGGTATATGCCGCGAGAGAGACCCCCATTTTCAACCCTAAACTTCCGTTCCAGTGGCAGTGCATCGCATTTTTAAGAATATCTCGTTCCAGAGCATCACAAGTTGTTACCATGCAGATCTTACATCTCTTGCCGTTCCGGGACCCTATAGTTTTAGCTCACCTTTACATCGTCATGCTAGCTAATTGCCAGGTGCTCGTACGTCCGTCCGTCTCTCTGTCCGTCACATTTGGCTACGTCACCGATAACTCAGGAACCGTTTGACCACATGTTTGAAATTGGGTATAGTTGTTACTGCTATGCTCCCATATTAAACGTCCTATTTTGGAGCCCGCCAGTCGACGTACTTTCGAGCCACGGCAATTTTTGGCAAAATGGGAATTGCCATTAGTCAGTTCAGGTTCAACGGATTTTGCTCATTTTGGTATGTGAATGAATAATGCTAGGTTTTGATATTTAAAAACAAATTATGGAAATTAGTCAGGGTTTGCAATTATATAGCATATTATATAGACACACAGATAACAAACAGTCTGTGGTGTCACTTGTCTGGTTTGTTTACAACATTTCATTGACAATATCTTTAATACAAAATTCCTGCTATGAACATATTATCATTTAACTATTATTATTATATTATTATCTATATATAAATTATAATGATTAGCTAAGAACACTCAAAGTGGGCATAGCGCCATCTACCGTCACAAATTGTGATTCATTTGTTATAAAATTATTTAAATTATATATAATAATTATTTATATTTTCACATAAAAAATTACCACATATATTATCAAGAGTATATATATATGGGAGTTCTCTAAATATACTCTTCGTTCTATAATGTACGTCGATGGTGCTCAATTAAAACTGACTTTCTCTCCACCACTCATTTTGTCCTTTTTTGTGGTAGCTACAGTGTCATTGACACTTTCATTTAACATTTCCATTCCAGTGCACTCATACCTTCAGAATACGTTGAAGCTATTGCGTTGATTCTAATACAACAATTGATTGGTTCAAGTGCTACAGCATAGGTAAACAAATCACAGTTCCTCACAGTTCCGAGACCCCCTTCTTAAACGTGTCCAGTCCATAAGCATGCATATTCAACGGAAATCCTTAGTTTCGAGACCCCACATTTTCGAACATAGCCAGTTCAGAGCATCCCACATTCACAAACATATTCCAGAGAACTAGAATTGAGCCAGAGCGAGAGCGCCATCTGTCGTGGAGTTTGATCAGTAGCAAGGTAAAGCCATGTAGAAGGAAACGGTAGGTTTTTTTTGCGCCAATAGCGGCGTACGGGCCGCATTAGCAGCGCATGCATTTTGCATGCGATCTCACGAAATTTCAATGAACCCCGTTCTGTCCCAATAACCCTCACCAAAATATAAAAAAAGGTTACCGGTATATGGGACAGAATTATTCGGTCTAGGCACATGCCACATGCCTGGCATGATGCCATGGTTTTTGCATGTTGTTAATGTTATATTCCATGTATGTTCAAGGAAACACTATACTACATAATGATAATATGGAGCAATACATAGCAATAGTGTTAATAAAAAAGTCCTTTCAATAGAACGTGGAAATTGGTGGATATACAAGTTACAACGATCATTACTTATTAGTTATAAAATTTACCATGTTGTTTGTGGAAAGTTGAGTCAGTGACGTCCTGCGCCATCTATCGGTAAACGATGTCATGCTTGATTTCCGTCGAGTGTAGGCGCTGTTTCCGTTCTCTGCTGATTTAGTAGTTATCCGGTGCGGTACCTGCTCGTGACGACTCTTATAAGTTCCTCGTATAATCCTACTCAATAACTGAACAAAGTGCAAAGATTGTGTCATCATGGCCAACTCACTGGAGCAACTTAAATCCATGACAGTTGTCGTTGCAGACACTGGGGATTTTAAAGGTAACTGAATACAGAATAGAACCTACTCAGCTACTGTCACTGTGGACGTTGTCACTTCCTCTGCTCTAGGCTAAGCAATGAGCCGGTTGTTGCCTAAACCGACCAGGCTGTCCGACTGTTACACGTCGTAGGACTACGTTACCCTCTCGCCAACGTAGTGTTAAGCGAGAAGGGAACTTGTGGCTAGTTGTTGCTTATCTCTAGTACTAAAGCTAGTTGTTGCCATACATACTGTCGTGCCGCTAGCATTACATTGGCCGCTCGTCATTACACGTAAGCATCGTACTACTCGTAGCACGCTAACCGAATCCAAGAAGAGTGTGGTAACATGCATGAACGGCGGTGGTTGCAGGATTAATGAGATCAATAGGACGGGGGAGGAAGGTGGGAGAGAAACGATTTGGAAATGAGATGTAGGATTGATTCCTGACTACACTGCAGTAACAGGTCAGTGACACCTACTACTATGTCGATAGCACTTAGGGGAAAGACAGTAACTAAAAATTTGTACTAGTTTCATATTACGTTCATTTCGTTTTTCACTTGTTGCACCAGCTGTACATCCTGTTCATAATTCCCTCTGTCTCATTCCGACCTCAATTTTTCGTTCCATTCTTACTCCGTAAAATTAAAGATCACCAATCACATCATATCTACCTCCGTCCACATCTCTCTTCGCCTGACCTACATGCATGGCTCCACATTTTCAATTTGTAACTCTCTGTGATTCCCTCCTGCCCTTGTCCTTTTTTGCATTTAATATTAGTTGTTATCTCTCATAGAACTACCATATTTACTATAGATGTATTATTTCTTTTAAAGTGTGTGAGGAGATATAACTGACTGTTCTCTATGACAATATTTTTGCTTTACCATCAGCTATAACGCCACAACTGCTATTAACGTGCCCAACCTCTACTTCTATACACCTTTTGCACTGATGATGCAGTTTCTTTAGCGTATGATCATGCGCAGTAGGGATGATGAAAGTTAGCCCTGCCAGAGCTATCCATACTCTCCCTGAAACATGGCCTTAACAGCCGGGTGGGGGGGCACCCATAGTATATTGCATGGTAGGTATATGCGCGGGATGAAGACCCCGATTTTCAGCCCTAAAACTTCCGTTTCCAGTGGCAGTGCATCGCATTTTTAAGAATATTCTCGTTCCAAGAGCAATCACAATTTAGTTACATGCAGATTTACATTCTTGCCGTTCCGGAGACCCTATTAGTTTTAGCTCACCTTGACACGTCAAGCTGAGCTATTGCCAATGGGTCGTCGTACTTCCGTCCGCTTCTCTCTGTCCGTCAACATTTGAGCTACGGTCAAACGATAACTCAGGAAGCGGTTGACCACACTGTTTGAAATTAGGTATATTGTTACTGCATGCTCCCATATTAAACGTTCCTATATTTGGAGCACGCCAGTCGACGTACTTTCGAGCCACGGAATTTTTGGGCAAAATGGAATTGCCATTAGTTCAGTTCAGGCTTCAACGGCATTTTGCTGCATTTTTGGTATGGTTGAAATGAAAAATGGCTAGGGTATTGATCATTTAAAAAAAATTATGGAAATTAGTGTAGGGTTTGCAGATTATATAGCCCATATATATAGACACACAGATAACAAACAGGTCTGTGGTGTCACACTGTTGGTTTGTTTACAACATTTCATTTGACAATATCTTTTAATACAAAAATTCCTGCTGATGAACATATTATGATTTATACTATTATTATTATATTATTTTATTATGATATAATTATAATGGATTTATGCTAAGAAACATGAAAGTGGTATAGCGCCACTCTACCGTCACAAATTGTGAATTCATTTGGTTTTATAATTATTTAAATTTTATATATATATGTAATTTATATTTGTCATCATAAAAAATACACAATATTTATCAAGAGTTAATATATGGGAGTTCATTCCCATAATATATACTCTTCGTTTCTGATAATGTACGTCGATGGTTTGCTCAACGTTAAAAACTGACTTCTTCTCACTTCACTCCATTGTGTCCTTTTTTGTGGTGAGGCTACAGTGTCAGTGGACACTTTCTCTTTAACATTTCTCACTTCAGTTGCATCAATACTTCAGAATACGTTGATAGCTAATCTGCGTAGATTCTAATACTCAACAATTATTGGTTCAAGTGGCTACAGCATAGTTTTAAAGCAAATCACAGTTCTCACAGTTCCGGAACCCCTT